GTGTCACGCTACAAGTAAATTCACGCCGGTCTCGAATTCAGTAGAACATTTATTGTTCTTCACGCTTACACAATCACATGCTTTACAATTGTTAGCCTACACAATCTCTCGGCGACACTGGGCTGGCTTCGCTGGCGGTGTATAGCAGACTCCTTTCTGCAGCGGATATTCCAGGGCTTTCTTCTTCGAAATCTATTCTGAGACTGAAGGCTTCTCATCGAAGCTGGCCTATTTATACCCTTGCCGCTGCTAGGCAAATGAACCTTCTGTTATAACCATGGAGACGTTGCTTTGTTTGTCGTTACCATGGAGATTCGATGTTCTCGATACAACAGCTCACTGTTGGAATTACAGTATCGCTATTGTTACTTCTTATGCAACGGTCTGTTCTAGCGTTTCCATAGAAGTGACCTCTGGATTCCAGACACGTTACAATATGTATGACAATTAGTTTCCCAGGTATAAAGTTTCTATTTTGGATACCTTTCTTCTGGACACCTGTATAAGCAGCTGGTAAACTGCCATATTTTATCAAAGGACAGTTTAATTAAATGGGAGTCAATCATACAATTACACACTAATCATTCATGAGCCCTGTAATATTCTTTTCCACAATGCTCCACATTTTCTGACAAATATGCAGTAATATGAACATTTTTAATTTTAGTTTCTTTTGCAATACACTGTTTTGGACAAAGAGTGAATGGTTATTATACAGGGGGTGATTGCAAATGATCTCAAAGACTTCTAATATTTACTATTGTATTGTATTGTATTGTATGAGACAACTAAAATGATATACTGAAAACCAAACCACAAAATCAACATAAACTCATCTGCAGGCGAGGCCCCACTGAAGTTCAGTAAGTGCCTGTGTGTGGCTCTGCACACATCGAAGTGGTAACCTATTTCTTTCTACACATTTTGTGGCATATCATATATTTCAGCAGTATTTCTTTTTCTTTCCTATACAGTGTAAAAAGTTTCTGGTAGTGATGGAACAAAAACGTCATTCTTGATATTATCCCAAGGGAAAGGATTTCATGAGTTAGTTTGGATAACTCCACCCCCTCAGCCAATCTAACAATCCAGCAACTTCATTCTCAGGGAAGTTGTGACCAACCTGAAAATGGGGTGGCACTCATCTTGTTGGAACACAACACCTCATCTGTGTTCTAGCAGTTGGGAATCACGAAAGATTCCAATAGGCCACGATACACAGCCCCTGCTTCTTTGTTAAACAATTAATAGCATGGAACTTAACACGGTACCAAAAGGAAATGCTAAGTACTTATCTATTTGCGGTCCGATTTTCAATTTGTCATTATTAGTTCATTCACAATAAAAATATAAACAATACTGATACAGAACAAACTCGTGGATTAAACATAAAGGATTTAATGATTTTAAAATTTAAACATATGAAAAGTGTTATGACACTTTGTGTCTGCATAAGGTGAGGTGTAATAATTATCAAGCTGTGCCTACATACAGCACTATACTAATTTTTGATTGAATAACTTGAATATTTTTGAACAGCTGCTATCAAATTCCTCTTCCTTACGTTGTTAAAAAGACTATTTTATTTCTTCTAAGTTTTTTTAATGAAATGTGATGAACATAAATCAGCAATTACATTCACTCTTCCATCATTGTGTGAAACTATAAAAACCAATTCCTTTCTCCAAATAAGCAGCTATGTTCTTGGTATTTCCTATCTCTGATTCAGAAGATATATTTCCCGTGGGCATTTCTAAGAATCCTGTCGTACAATTCAGTCACGTTAAGTGACAATGATGTACGTGCCTGCATTGAACTGTCCACATTATTATACCAGTATATGTAACTACCAGCTGTGTTATTCATGAAATAGCATTTTGGGAATATATTACAATGCTTCATTTTTCAACAAAATATAATCAATATGTAAATATGTTTGTTTATCAATGTTGAATTTGTGGCGCCGAAATAATACAACAAATAAGTCTTAAAACTCTAAACATAGCCCTTTACAATGAACAGTGAATTTACAAAAACGTTTTGATCAGTTACACTTGAACAAAATAAAAAGCACTGACACCACTGAGGAGATCCTAAAAACGTGTAACTACGGCTGCAATATGCATTACCCAGGCCTACGTTTGGTCACAAAAGCTCCATTTGGTACCTACATGCTGTTGATTTCTGTACATCCATTCCTTCAGAATATTCCACAAATTGTACTTTATAAACCATTCTGATTATGGGAAAATAACAATAAAACAAGACACACAATCGCTTCATAATATTAAGATACATTCATATATTCACTCGTACGTGGACTCTACGTAACCTAGAATGTGCACAATAAAATACTGTTCTACAACAACCTAACAACAATAAATGACAAGTGTCTTACAATGTCATAAACAGAAATTGCATGTATATTAATAGAAACATAGATCACTTACCTGAATTATTTTTCAAGATCAAAGGTAAAGCAAGTCTACAACTCGGTTTCCATATGATAAAATATACCTATAAAAACAAATACGGACCTCAATAAACTCTTCAACGCTTATAAAATTCTCTGATACACCATTCATACATTCATCGTCATAGTTTCAGCATTGGAAGCTTCTCAAATTAGGTAACACTGCCACCAGCAACAGCCTTTTAACCCTTCGACCTTCCACGATCTTCTTACCCGATTATAGTACATTTAGCACTTCCACTTATCACCGCTTCATTGATAATATCGACAGACAGTACACGGTCATAAACGTCGATGTGGCCTACACAGTTCTATCTACGGACATGAAAAAAGTAGCTAGTTTGGGCGAATAGAGTTGGCCATTTATGAGAACAATACATAGGACGAACAAAAAGCGCACCGCTTTAAATTCCAGGTGGCAGAGACTTTTTGAGAAGCTTATGATCCTTATGATCGTTCATAGTGTGTGTAACGTGAAATGAAGTTATTGTGTTCAAAGCCTATCACTGGTTCATATCGCAAGTCAAATCAATCAAACCCAGCTCTTCTCTGTGTATGATCAGTTTTAATATTATCTACACATTTCCCAGTTGGTCTTATACCTTCAGAGTGATGTATCTACTTGAAGTAGTGTGTTTCTTGTAAAGCTAACAGTCATTTAACTAAGCAAGACACCCCCTACCTTTCATGGAACAGTAATATTCATTACCATATTCACAATGGCGCGCCACCATGCCCCAGTCTGAGCCACATGAATCCTGTCCACACCCTCCCAACCCATTTCTTCATGATCCAGTTTAATATATCTTATATCCACCTAGGATTTCCAAAAGGTCTCTTCAGTGACAACAATAATTTCGCATCTACAAGCTCTTAGTAGTGTCACAATTTAGTGACTAGACGCAGGGTTTGGATTGATTATTGAATTTATTGAACACTTTATATAACTCATACATACAAGTAACTGACTAGTTTGACTGGTCCTATCCGTAACAGTGATTCTTGGTTCCAAATCGCAAGGGACTAATGACCTAATTTTACTCTCTGGTGGCTCTGGAAGCCTTCAGACCATCCCATCTCTCACCGACTGACTGTCTAGCTGCTAAATTGCTGCTGGCCCTCACCAGAGCAGTGATCCTTGGTTCTGAGTCCCATGAGAGTCATGACCATATTTTACTGTCTGACAGTTCTGTGAGCCTTCAGACCACTCTATCATTGAAACCAACAGAAGAAACTAGCCAGCAAGTGACTAGGTTAAAGTCAGAATCAAAGTCATGTTACAACTGACTGTCAGTCACCCAGTCAGTCTTGGTATCAAGCACAAATGTGGGGCCCAAGACCAGATTCATATTACTGTCACACACTTGCGGGTTTGTCAATGTGGGGCACCATCTCTGATGAGTGGACAGGTCTGTTGTCTGCAATTGCTTCTGGCCCTTGCCAGCACAGAACTTAAGACCATATTTTACTGTCTCATATTCAAGACTCCCCCACCCTGATAGACTGATTAGTCAGAGTCAGAGTCAGAGTTACTTTACAACTGGCAGTTTACTGCCAATCAGTTCATCTTGGCAACAAGCCCTTGAGACTCTCAACCACAATTTTTATTTTCCAACTGAACGCTTGGGGTGTACCTCTCTGGAGAGAGGATGAGTCTGTAATTTACAGTTGCAACTGAGCCTCACCAATGCAGTCATTCTCAGGTCTGAGTCCTGCAGGATCATGACCACATTTTACTGTCTCAGATTCAAGACTCCCCTAACCTGGAGGGCCAGGTCCCCCATATTTATAACCCCCATGAACAGCATGGTCCAGTTATACCTCCAGACACTGGGTTCCCTTTTTGTCACCCTGTATGACTTGCAGGGCTATGGTGGAGGTATTCGACCCTGCCTATACACAGGATTGATCATTATATTGCCTTGGGTTGAACTGTACAGAAAACACTACCTCCAACAATTCCTCTCTTGTTGCACAATATGTTCAGTGTCACGGAAACTTGTTTATTGAGATGTTCCCACGTAACAGACAGTGTCTAAGCAGTCATGTCACAGTATTATACATGACATCCTGTCACTAATAAATTTTACATTCATTGACAAGGTTTATATCATGCTCGGTTTAAGGTTCTCATGGCAGTAACTATGAAGCATACAGTTTTCTGGATTGTAGTACTACATAATCTCTGAAGTACATTACATTACAGCACATACTCTTTTCAAGTTTATATCATTTCTCATCTCTCCCATACTTGCTACATACTCTGCTCATTCTATCCTCCTGGATTTGATCAATCTTAACTATATCTGAAGAAGAGTACAAATTATGAAGCCCCTCAACATAAAGTTTTCTTCTACTTATTACTAACTTATTTTCCTTCTTCAGAATATTCTCTACATGATATTTTGGGGCAACTCGGTAAATGTAAAATTGATCTTTAAATTACAGAAGAGAGCTATAAGAGTTATGACCAGGTCCCAAAAACAACTAGTTGTGGACAAATTTTCAAATCATAACATATATTACCTCTACCATCTTTGTACATATACAAAACTCTAATATACATAAAATCCAATTTGAATGATTTCACAACCAACTCAGGTTACACTCATACAACACAAGGAAAAAAGATCACTTGCACATCGTCCCATGTAATACAAGTCTATGCAAGAACAATTTTAACAATGTAGGACTTCAACTGCTAAATCATTTGCCACAATATATTAAAGAAATACCGGTACTACATAAGTTCAAAAACTCTTTGAAAACTTACCTACTCGATCATTGTTTTCATAAAGTGGACGAGTTTCTCTCGTGTGAGACAAACACTAATCAATTATAATCACATAATTCGTGAATAATTGGTTTTGGGAATCCCTACTGCGCAGTTTACCTTTCTTTCTTCCAGCAACCAAGATAACACAGTTGGAGATGTACCTGAATGGGCTATTTTGGAGAGAGTGCAGATGCCAAGAAGCTGCACCAGGAAGGGAGAACAGATGTAGTGAGATGTTGCAGTGTAGAGTCTACAGTGTAGAGTGCTAAAGCCCCTGTACAAGATTTGTGAAGTTATTTAATAACAATAAATAAACAATAAACAGTGAAACGTTATACCAGTGCTTTTACCAAATTCACCAATATCATCTCAAAGGCTGCGCCATAGCTCAAGCAGTTAAGTCACTGGCTTCCCACCGCTGCGGTCTAGTCAAGTGGGATTTGTGATGGACAAAGTGGCGCTGGGGCAGGTC